GAACCACCCTTGACAGGCATGGTGATATCCGATCTGTTTGTTCGCGTGCCGTACGTGTCCCAGACTATCAGTGCGGAATTGGACGGGCATTATTCAATAGAAGGGCACATTCATCGGGCTCCGTTCTATTCCCCTCAGCCGCGCTGTTTGCGTCACACGTTTGGCACCATGCACCCTCTTCTATCTGAACGCGCGTTCGGTTTATGCCATTCGGGCTCGCACATGCGCCAGTTGAGGGCCACCGCTCCGGATGATCTATACGACTTGGTTTACAGTTTCGCTCGTGAGATATTGCTTCAGTACACCGAATCACGGTTCGTCGCGTTGGGCGCGGCCGGTCCATCTGAACAGCCTATCTCGGACGATATCTATGCGTTGATCTTTTCCGATGGCAGTGAGGATGTCGTGGACTTTGATAGCTCGCGTGCGCGGTCCCGGGACAGCTTCTACAGTGGTGTCGATCGTGCCCTTCAGATTGAGCCTGCAGGTGTGTGAGCTCTGCTCTCTCCTGGAATTGATATGCTCGTCAATCGGTGACCCCATCACTGGCATCATCATCCTTATCTTTTGATCATTATCCCTACCGTTTCATCATCAGCACCGTCACCTCTATCTCTTACTCTATTGTGCAACGTTTTCCCTGCCCGGTTGCTGTTCTATGGCGTGCTACGTCGTGCTTCTATGCGATGCTACATCCTGTTGTTGCTGCACCTGGTATATTTGGGATGGGGGCTCGCTTCTGAGTCGGGCTGCTTCCTATAACGACCTGTTATATCGTAGTTCTATAACCTAATCATGTTGTTCGGCGCAGCATTGCCTTGCTATTATGTGTTATATTAGAGCCACGCTCGATCAGTGGGATCCTCTGTTTATGTGTCTTCTGCTTGCTGCGTTGTGCGAGTTGCGGCTTAGGCGCCTCGCCGGCGTAGGCCGCCCATGCCGTCCGCCTCCCATTCAGGGACTAATTACTGTCTATATTGCGAGTGTCCCCATAGAGACCAGAGATGGCTCTGCATGGACGTCGGTTGGGTGTGCTGGTCAGGCTATCGGCATATGGAAAACACAAAGTTTCAGGTGTTCCATCCGTCGTGGGCGCGCCATCGTGACAACTTGCGCACGCAAGATTGCACCGGCTGCGCTATTCACTGCGCGGGAAGCCGTGCTGACGTACGTGCATTTCGAACGGTTTGGACTATGTTTTCCGATCACCTTGCATCTCTGCATCTTGTCGTTTTCTGGTTCGGCTTCCTTTATGAAGTATACTGGGAGGCGCCTATGGTTGCTATGTGCTGGGACGTTTTGCGAACCCCTTCGATGGCCAACCGTTCTTCGGCTATAAGGGCTATGGGGAAGCGTGTTTCGGTGTTTTTCCGGCACATGAGGTATCGCCTGGGAAATCTATGTCTTGGCACTGTTGGACAGCATCCTCTTCGCAACCCGTCCGAGCGCCAGGGGCCTCTAGCTATGTTCTACTACTTATGCAGGAACCGTAGAAAGTTTGTCGATTTGTCAAGGAGCATCGCCGATTATCTGCAGGAAGCCGGTCCCACTATTTCCGTCGCACGGATCATGGATGTCATGAAGCATGCGGGATTCGGGCGTTATCACGGTCAGATCACGTACACGACGGTGCGCTTTGCGCGTTCTATCGTGTTGGCAGATCGGCGCGAGCACTGTGATTCTATCGATGATTGGCGCATCTTGCGTTCTATGTCTGTGCACGTCCGCAAACGCATCATGAAATGGGCGATTTGGGAATATGACACTGCTATCCGCTTCCGAGATGGGATGTGCGACATCTTGTCTTTATCTGAATACAACCTTCTTGATTTAATTGTGTATACGTGTCTCTTGCGGTAGCGCGCGCTGCCGGCATCTGCGAGACCATAGGGCCTTATGCTTTGCAGTCGTTTGCACGCTCGCACTCCATCTTGGGGCCCACTTCCCTATCCAATCCTTTACGCTATCCACTGTTCATTTTTCTGTGTCGCTCTGATGACTCTTGGGCTATTTCAACTGCTCCAGTTGGGGTGTTCGTCCGCTTCTTTGTGCCTCGGACTCTATTTTCGGTGTCATAGTTCGGTCTGGGCGCCCCGACACGTCACCGAGCGCTGCTTGGTGTTTGAAAAGAGTCGCCCGGCTCCACGCTGGCGGTTAGTCTGTCACGCATGTATTGGCCATTGCGTTTTCGTCTCCATGCGATGCACGGGATGCATGCTATATGCGCATGTCTTTTGCGGAGCCCGTCCAATAGCAGAGCAAAACACAGCATGGCACAGGCAAGGACTTAGCATATCACAGAATTCTATGTTATGCTACGCCATGCCTGTGCTACATCATGGGTTTTCTGGCAGCCTACTCAACTATGTGCTATGCCAAATTATGCTTCACCATGTGTTAGCTGTTTGGAAATCTGTTCTATGCGAATTTATGCTCATCACTCTTCGTCACCTTGCGGGGAATGGGAGCTTCTCTGTTCGTGTATGCTTCGCTGTGCAATCTCTTGCCAATCCATGGTGCATCTCAGTGTTTCTCTATGTGGAACTTCGGCTTTGCCATGCAGTGCGATGCTATGCTATGCTAGGCTGCGCTGTGGCATCATAGGTTCCCCACTAAGTGGGGAACCTATGCTTTGTCATGGTGTTATGCTGCCAGCTACTGTGTTCACCACAGGTTCCCCACCTAGTGGGGAACTTGTGCTTGCCACTGCGTTGAGCTATGCTATTACTATGCTATGCTACATCATCGGTTCCCCGCTTAGTGGGGAACCTATGCTTTGCCATGCTGTGCGATGCTCTGGCTATATGCTTTGCCATGCTGTGCTATGCTACGCTGTGTTATGCCATGCTATGCTACACCATGGGTTCCTTAGGCGGTGATTCTCTCTGCCATGTTGTGGTATGCTATGTATGATATGCCACGTTGTGCTACACTATATCCCCACGTTGTGGGAAACCTATGCTTGCCATGCTGTGCCATGCTATGCTATGCTATGTCATGCTATTCTACACCATGGGTTCCCCACTTAGTGGGAACTTATGCTTTGCCATGTTGGGCTGCTCTATGCTATGCTATGCTATGCTACGATGTGCTACACCATAGGTATCCAGTTGGTAGGGAAGCTATGGTTAGCCTGTTCTATGCGATGCTAGGCTACGCTATGCTATGCTACACCCTCCTGCCATGCTGTGCAATGCGATGTTAGTGTGCTACATCATAGGTTATCCACGTAGTGTGGAACCTATGCTTTGCCGTGCTGTGCTATTATATGCTATGCTATGCTATGCTATGCTACACCTTAGGTACCCCACTTGGTGGGGAACCTATGCTTTGCATGCTGTCCTTTCCTGCTTTGCTATGCTCTGCTCTGTGCTGCACCATATGTTCCCCTATGGAAATCTGCCCTATTCGAATTCATGCTCATCACCATTCGTCACCTTGCGGGGAACTGGAGCTTTGCCGTGCTTGTATGCTGTGGAATCTTATGCCAACCCATGTGCATCACAGTGTTTCTCTATGTGGAATGTATGCTTTGCCGTGCTGTCGTTGCTATGCTGTGCGCTGCTATGCTAAACTATAGGTTCCCCGCTTAGTGGGGAACCTATGCTTTGCCATGCTGTGCTATTATGTTAGGCTGCGCTATGCCAAACCATAGTTTCCCCACTCAGTGGGAACCTGTGCTACCATTGTGTTAAGTTATGCTATTACTATGTATGCTTCACCATCGGCTCCCCGCTTAGTGGGGAATATATGCTTTGCCATGCTGTGCTAAGCTACGCCATGCCATGCTACGGTTTGCTACACCATAGGTTCTCCACTTAGTGGGGGCTGTGCTTCGCCATGCTGTGCTATGCTATGCCATGCTATGTCATGTGTTACACCATAAGTTTCGCACTTGGCTGGAATCTGTGCTTTGCCATGCTGTGGTATGCTATGCTGTGCTATGCTACGCTCTGCTAGACCACATGTCCATTTAGTGGGAAACCTATGCTGCGATGCTGTGCTATGCTATGCTTTTTCTATGCCATGCTATGCGACACCATTGGTTCTTCACTTAGTGGGGACCCTTGCCAAGTTGATCTACCCTGTGCTTCCGGGTTGTTATGATATGCTTCACCATGGGTTCAGTTGGTGCGGAACCTATGCTTAGCCTGTTCTATGTTGTGCTAGGCTACGCTGCGCTATGCTACACTCCTGCCATGCTGTGCTATGCTATGCTATGCTCTGCTAAACCACGGGTTCCCCACTTTGTGGGGAACCTATGCTTTGCCATGCTGTTTCTATTCTATGCTATGCTATGCTGTGCTACACCCTGGGTTCCCCACTTGGTGGGCAACCTATGCTTCCTTGCTGTCCTGGTATGTTATGCTCTGCTCTGTGATGCACCACAGGTTCTCCACTTAGTTGGGAACCTATGCTTTGCCATGCTTTGCTATGCTATGCTATGCCATGTTATGCTACACCACAGGTTCCCCACTTAGTGGGGAACCTATGCTTTGCCATTTTGCTATGCTAATGCTATGCTACGCTGTGCTACACTGTAGGTTCCCCACTTAGTGGGGAACCCATGCTTTGCCACGCTGTGCCATGTTATGCCATGCTATGCTACATCATAGGTTCATTTAGGTGGGAACCCCTTTGCCATTCTGCTATTATGCTATGCTATGCTACGCTATGCTACACTAAAGCTTCTCCTCTTAGTGGGCAACCTATGGTCCGCCATGCTGTGCTATGCTATGCTGCGCTGCGCCATGCTGAACCATAGGTTCCCCACTTAATGAGGAACCTGTGCATGCATGGCTATGCACTGCTATGCAACGCTTGTTTTTTTGTGGTGGTTTGTGCTATTCTATTCTATGCTACACCATAGCCCTGTTGGATCCATTGCTTCGCACTGCTGAGTTCTGGGCTTATGTTGGCTCAGGCGCGGTTGATTTTCAGGTTGTGGGGGGCGCGACTATGTTCACCGTCGCTGGAGGTTTCCATGTCGTCCTCCTCAGGAGTGACGGCACGGCCGTCGCCTCTGGCGCGAATCTCGCTGGTGAGTGCTCCCTCCCGGCGCTGGCGCCGGGGCTGCTCTTCACGCAGGTTGCGGCTGGAGGTGAGCATACCGTCCTTCTGAAGAGCGACGGCACGGCCGTGGGTTGCGGCGCGAATCGCTTCGGTCAGTGCTCTATCCCGTCGCTTCCGGGGGGTCTGTTCTATACGCAGGTTGCAGCTGGGAGCGAGCACACCGTCCTTCTTCGGAGCGACGGCACGGCCGTGGCGTGCGGCGCGAGTGGTGCGGGCAGGTGCTCTCTGCCGCCAGTAGTAGGTAGCATCATCTATACGATGGTTGCTGCTGGGGGTGCCCACAGCGTCCTTCTCAGGAGCGACGGCACGGCCGTGGCGTGCGGGCGGAATAGCAGCGGTGAGTGCGACCTCCCGTGGCTGGCGGGTGGCCTGACCTACACGCAGGTCTCCGCTGGTGTTTCGCACACTATTCTGCTGAGGAGCGACGGCATGGCTGTGGCCTGTGGCTACAATCAATTCGGGCAGTGTGAGCTCCCGGTGCCGGTGGCGGGCCTGACTTACACGCAGGTGGCCGCTGGTTATGGCCATAGCGTCCTGCTCAGGAGCGACGGCAGGGCTCTGGAGTGCGGCTGGCATCGCGTTGGCCAATGTGGCATTCCGGCTCTGGCGGATGGTCTTACCTATACGCATGTTGCCGCTGGATGTCTCCGCACCGTCTTGCTCAGGAGTGACGGTACCGTCGTGGCTGTCGGGCCTAACGCTGCAATTCATCCGCTCCCTGCGTTAATTGGTAACTTGACCTATGTTGCGCATCTGTTCCCGTCGGTGCTCTTGCAGGCGTCTCTCGATGGCAACTCTATCAGGTTCTTGACCTTCGCGGGTGACTATCGCGCGACCATTGCTGCTGCACCCACCGATCGTCTTGTTGGAGTCTATGAGCAGTTGCTGGCCGAGCATCGTGCGGGCAGGCTGGGCGCTGGGCTCGGGCGAGTCGATGCGGTTCTACCTTCGGGCGGGCAGCTCAGCCGCGCACCCTCCTGTCAGACGGTGGCCAGCGCATTTGGGCTCCGCCGGTTGCGCGTGCGTGGCAAACGTCCGCGCACGTCCTATGTCGCATGAGCCGGTTCAGCTACGCCTCTATTGTCGGACCCTGCTGTGCTGTCGCCGCATGAACAATTTACTCGTTATATGCATAGGCGATGTTCTACTCATGCCGTGCTATCCTTCTCATATCTCATTCACGTTACAACTTTAGGGCCGGCATCGTGTCTTAGATCATGTGTCGCTGATGCGGCTTTACTGGATATTACCATCGATATGGGTTCTGTATAATTGTTGTTATTGAGTGGGACTTAGTGATTCGCTGAGGCGGCCCTGGTTCACTATACTCTCTGTTTTCTGTTTTTTTTGTTTTTTTCAGGCCGTAGTCTCGCCGTGCCATGAATATGGTTCAATTCTGTAGTCCTATGTTATATCGTCTCATCTTGCTGTTAACGACAACTTCTCTTGGTAGTCTGGATTACGCCACAGCCATGCTATAACTTGACGTAGGGGCATTGTTTAGTAGGTTGAGTATTTTGAATCATTGTTCCTGAAATTGATGACTGAATTGGGGGTCGCCTTAGGTCAAGTCTGTGACATTAGTGCTCAAGTTGTGAACTGCGCCTCGTGCCTGAGCCCGCGTTTGTATCTATGCCGGGTGACTTCGCCGAGATGTTTGGCGCGGGCGCGGCGAGCGCGGGCGGCGATCAGAAGGACAAGCCGCAGGAGAAGAACAACAAGCTATGGCCCTGGGGCACGGCGCCTGCGCAACTTCTCAATGCGTGTGGCTCCAACCATATATCCGACGCGGACCTTTCGATGTTCTGGAAGGTGCTCGCGCAGGGGAACGCCAAGGCGCCGTATTTCTATGAGGGTGTCGACGAGGATGGTCTTCGCCAGTCTGTAGGCGTGTCTCGCGCTGTACAGGCTATCCAGTCCTTTATTGAGGAAGTTTTGAATTCGCCCACCAACAACATCGAGCAGATCATAAAGGATCCTATCTTCAAGAACGCCAAGAAGGAGGCGCAGGATCTGTTGCCTCATTTGAAGGTGCTGAACGCCTCTGGACTGCCTATGCCGGACAGCAAGGCCAAGGATGACAAGAAGAACCCATTCAAGCGCCAGCGTACTGAGGCTCCTGTGCCGGAGAAGCCGAAGATCGAGATTGCTGCCACTGCACTATACGGGTGGATCCTCCTGAAGCCGTCGGCCTTGAAGCAGTTCATCCTGACCTTCGGTGCGAATGGGCTATCGCACAATGCCCAGGTCTATGAGAAGTGCCTCCGTGCGCACGTGTCCGAGCACAAGCTCCAGCAGGAAGCTTTCGTGGCTATGATGGTCAAGCGCTTTGAGGGCGCGCAGACGTCGGGGTCGTCTGCGACGAGTGATTATGCAGCTTTCAGCCGTTAGGTGGCTTTGTTCTGAGCATGTGCTGTACCACTCTATTGGCTTGTTTTTCGACCGTCGCGAGGAACAATGGCTGATTGCTATAGTGCAGAGTTCTCGGAGCTATTACATGGTTATGGGGGACAGGTTGTGGGACTTGGGCTGGGGCTACGGTCGCCGCAGTTTCCGTTGAGCAGGCGGAGCTGGACTATATCTGTTGGTATGCGTCTGCGTCGTGCGCTTTCCGTTTTGCTTCGCGACGGTACAGAAAAATGATGAAACATGTCATTTGTGGTGCTGTGCTATCTGTCAGCTATGTTATGCTATGCCATCCTACTCCATAGGTTCCCCACAGTGTGGGGAACCTGTGCCATGGCGGCGTTATTATTTGCCATGCTGCGCTATTCTATGCTATGCTATTGCAGTTTTGCTACACTATATGTTCCCCACTCAGTGGGGAAGCTATGCTTCATGCTGTGCTCTGCTATGCTATGCTATGCCACGCTATGCTGCACCATAGGTTCCCCACTTAGTGGGGAACCTATGCTTTGCCATGTTCTTAGCCATGCTATGCTATGCTATGTTATGATACACCATAGGTTCCCCACTTAGTGGGGAACCTATGCTTTGCCATGCTGAGCTATTCTACGCTATGCTATGCTATGATATGCGACACCATAGGTTCCTCACTTGGTGGGGAACCTATGTTTTGCAGGCTGTGCTTCGCTATGCCAAGCTAATATCTATGCTACACCATAGGTGTCTCACTTAGTGGGAGGCTTATGTTTTGCCGTTGCGCTATTCTATGTTATGCTATGTTACATCAGAGGTCCCCCGTTCAGCGGGGAACCCATGCTTTGCCATGCTGCGCTATGCTATGCCATGCTATGCTACGCTATGCACCATAGGTTCCCGACTTAGTGGGGAACCTATGCTTTGCCATGCTGTGCCATGTTATGCTTATACGCTTTGCTGTACTATATGTTTCCCACTTACTGCAGAACCTATTCTTTGCCATGCTGCGCTATTCTATGCGATGCTATGCTATGCTTTGCTACACTATAGGTCCCCCACTCAGTGGGGGACCTATGCTTTGCCATGCTGTGCTCTGCTATGCTATGCTATGCCACGCTATGCCGCACCATAGGTTCCCCACTTAGTGGGGAACCTATGCTTTGCCATGTTGTGCTATGCCATGCTATGCTGTGCTATGTTATGCGACACCATAGGTTCCTCACCTGGTGGGGAACCTATGTTTTGCATGCAGTGCTTGGCTGTGCCAAGCTATGCTATTCTCTATGCGACACCATAGGTGTCTCACTTAGTGGGAGGCTTATGCTTTGCCATTGCGCTATTCTATGTTATGCTCTGCTACATCATAGGTCCCCCATTCAGTGGGAGACCCATGCTTTGCCATGTTGCGCTATGCTATGTCATGCTATGCTACGCTACGCACCATAGGTTACCCACTGAGTGGGAAACCTATGCTTTGCCATGCTGTGCCACGCTATGCTTATACGCTATGCTGTACTATATGTTTCCCATTTACTGCAGAACCTATGATTTGCCATGCTGAGCTATTCTATGTTATGATGTGCTTGAACATGCTATGCTACACCATAGGTTCCCTACTTAGTCCGTTATCTGTTGATTCGCACGGTTCGCTATTCAGTTACACCGTTCCTTATTCCATTCTGTGTGCACCATTCTGCTTTTCATGTGCTGTACCGTTCAGTTGCTCGTGGCCGATCAGTTGCATCACTCCGATATTGATTGCATCGTTCGCTATGCAGAACGTTCGCAATTCGGTTCTCTATGCGTCGCTTCGCAATTCTGTTGCACAGTTCTCTACTCGGTCGCATGCTATAACGTTATGCTCCTTTTGCGCCTATTGGCTACTCACTTCTGCGATGCTTCACGCGGCCGACCGCGCTTCTGCGCCCTATCCATCGTGAATGCAGGTGTCAAGTGCCTCACGGTTGCTAAAATTATTGGCGCTCATCCGTGCTGTCTATTCTCTGTTGTGTCTATTCGTGGTGGCTGGACAGATTTCTCATGGCTGCTATCGATGACGCCTGCGGGTGCTCTCCGACCCAATATCACCTCATGCGTGCGCGGTATGATACGCTGTGCTATGCCATGCTCTGCCACGCAATATCATGAGGTTCTGCTTGACGGGAACCAGGTCCATCTGAGATAGGAGCTTAGCTAAGCAATGTTGTGCTATGCTATGCTATGCTAACCCATAGGTTCCCCACTGTTTGGGGAACCTATGCTCTGCCTATGCTGTGCTATGCTATGCTATGCTACACCATAGGTTCCCTACTGTTGGGGGAACCTATGCTTTGCCATGCTGTGCTATGCTGTGCTATGCTATGATATGCTATGATACACCATAGGTTCCCTCTTTTTGGGGGAACATATGCTTTGCCATGTTGTGCTATGCTATGCCATGCTATGCTATGCTACACCACAGGTCCCCCACTTTTGGGGGAACCTATGCGTTGCCATGCTGTGATATGTTATGATATGCGATGCTATGCTATACTACACCATAGGTTCCCCACTTTTTGGGGAACCTATAATTTAGCATAACATCATTCAACTTAACATAGAATTGTGATATAGTGGCCGATGCCAACGCTTAACTTGACATAACATTGCGCAACATACCATGAAATAGCATAGAAAAGCCTATACATATGGATCTGCGCTATGCTATGCTATGCAACACCATGGATTCACCATTTGTCGGGAAACCTATGCTTTGCCATGCGGCGCGATGCTATGCTATGCTATGCTATGCTAAACCATGGATTCCCCAGTTTTTGGAGAGCCTGTGGGCTTTCAAGTTGTTCTATGACATGCTATGCTGCATCAAGGGTTCTTTTTTTTTTTTTTGGGGCTGCTATATGATTCGCCATACGGTGCTATGCCATGATTCGCTATATCCTGCAACATCAGGTTTCATTTGTTGGGGGGAACCCATGCTTTGCCCTGCTGTGCCCCCCCCCCCCCCCCCCCCCTCCCTCACCCACGCTCCAGGGAGCAAGGCCGCCCCGCGAGGGCGGGGAGGGCCGCGCCCTAAGCTTTCATGTTTCACCATTTCACCATGGCAACATCTAAATTGCTCTGATACCGCCTTTGAAGGCACCCCGGGGAGCAAAGCCACACCGCGAGGGCGGGGAGGGCCGCACCAAACACTTTATGTTTCACCGCGTTTCACCATGGCAACATCTCGGTTGCTATGTTCTCGCCTTCTAAGGCCACGTCGTCGAGGTCGCCGACTTGGAACTTGCCTGCGAGAGTGCGGCCGTTGCGTGCGCCCGATATGTTTCATTATATGCGCTTCAAAAAAAAACAACAAAACAAGAAACCATCAGAAAACGAATTACACGAGGGCGAAATCATCATTTTCTTCTCAGGTCGCGGAATGCTGTTGACATTTTGGAGTTTCATTCAAAGGCTATCTGGCATCATGGAGCCATCTTGGGGCGGTCTTGGGACATTTTGGAACATCTTCGGAACCATCTTGGAGCTT